CAACTCACTCACTCACTCTAACGGTAGTTGAAATGTACGATGTGTAAGAGTGGTTACAGTGATGACAGTTGCAGTGTGTGACACAGTGTGTGAAATTGATAATTTGTGATAAGTGGTGTTTTGGTTTTAACAGTGGTACTGCAGTGTTCAGCAGCTGTTGCAGTGTCTAGCAGGTTCCGGAATGTGTGACGGCATTGTGTAGCAGCCGGTGAAATGTTGCAATATGTGTCAGTAACAGAGATGATACTTGTTCAGTGGCTTCGTGCGTATGATTTCGATAAAGGTCGATGAAGACAGACCTGAAGATGTCAATGATAAAGTGAGTGAGTGAGTGAGTATGGTTTTACGCCGCTTTTAGCAATATTCCAGCAATATCACGGCGGGGGACACCAGAAATGGGCTTCACACATTGTACCCATGTCGGGAATCGAACCCGGGTCCTCGGCGTGACGAGCGAACGTAAAGGACACCACTAGGCTACCCGACCGCCCCGTCAATGATAAAGCTGAAGATCCATGACAGGAAGATAAAAGAGCGAAGATCATTCTTATTCTGATCACCAGCCTGAATGATGCAGGCTGTCTTCCACTGCACACAAAATCGACCCAAAATCACACGTTGATACGAAAGCTAGCATATGGTCGCGTATGCCTGTCTGAGGGAAGTAAATGCCACAGTCTGTGTCACCGAGTACAAACTCTATACATCACACTGCATTTGACACTGTGTTGTGAGCGGCATATCACTCGTGTCTCTGGTAGACGGCGTCTCGGGGGATGACAACAGGGATTAGAGGACACCCCACCCCCATCCCCTTTCATCACCCTGATTCACAATACCCGTATCCCGAATGAAAGCGCGTTGAGGGCCCGTTTGTTCTGAACCTGTCGGGGGGTAATTAAAAACACGCTTTCTTAAGGGCAGACGTCACAAGTATGTGCAAGAATAATCTTTGCTTTTCGGGGTTTTTTTTGGTTTGACTTTCCATTGCGACTGTTACGCAAAACCATAGAATATCCATTTCTGGGTTGGGATTTCTGCATCGTCATATCTGCGTTACTCTTCGCTTCTTGATGACATTCCAACAACGCCTGTCTAAAGCGTCGAAAGTATTACAGTATAAATATCTAGACGGTAGGATCGCAGGTGGTTCTAATAGCATATTTACTTCGGCCATACCGTGATTCTGCTCATGCTACAGACACACCTGCATAGCCAGTGCTGCAGCCGTTTTCACGCAGAATATTTTACGTTCGCACTGAAGCGTTACCAGGACGGGAATTCACCAATTTACACTGGAAGTATATAGTGGTCGCCAACGTAACGTTCTGACAGGGGTACCTCGTTAATCCGGACACCGCTATTCCGGAAAACTGACCTTCCGGACGATCATGTGTATGCAACCTTACAATATTTGTTCATCGATTGATACAACTAATAAACATATTGTTTGAAGAGACCGAGCTGTGGCTATCAATAGGAATTTGGGTATTTTGTATGGAGATACATATTTTTTCAGCTGCAGGTGGAAAACCAGATATTTTTTAATTACAACTATGAGCTTATATATATATATATATATAAAATGAGGAATGAGGACTCAATTTCAGACTCAAGGATCTTGGGATATCATGTAATGGTATAGAGAAATCATGTGATGGTATATTTTTTAATTACAACTATGAGCTTATATATATATATATATATATATATATATATATATATATAAAATGAGGAATGAGGACTCAATTTCAGACTCAAGGATCTGGGGATATCATGTAATGGTATAGAGAAATCATGTGATGGTATAGGGATATCATGTGATGGTAAAGGGATATTATGTGATGGTATAGGGATATCATGTAATGGTATAGAGATATCATGTGATGGTATAGGGATATCATATGATGGTATATGGAAATCATGTGATGGTATAGGGGTATCATGTGATGGTATAGAGCAATCATGTGATGGTATAGGGATATCTTGTAATGGTATAGAGATATCATGTGATGGTATAGGGATATCATGTGATGGTATAGGGATATCATGTAATGGTATAGGGATATCATGTGATGGTATAGGGATACCATGTGATGGTATAGGGATATCATGTGATGGTATAGAGATATCATGTGATGGTATAGGGAAATCATGTGATGGTATAGAGATATCATGTGATTGTATAGAGATATCTTGTGATTGTATAGGGATATCATGTGATGTAAAGGGATATCATGTGATGGTATAGGGATATCATGTGATGGCAAAGGGATACCATGTGATGGTAAAGGGATATCATGTGATGGTATAGGGATACCATGTGAATGTATAGGGATATCATGTGATGGCAAAGGGATACCATGTGATAGTAAAGGGATATCATGTAATGGTATAGGGATATCATGTGATGGTATAGGGATATCATGTAATGGTATAGGGATATCATGTGATTGTATAGAGATATCTTGTGATTGTATAGGGATATCATGTGATGTAAAGGGATATCATGTGATGGTATAGGGATATCATGTAATGGCATAGGAATATCATGTGATTGTATAGAGATATCCGGTGATGGTATAGGGATATCATGTGATGGTATAGGGATATCATGTAATGGTATAGGGATATCATGTGATGGTATAAAGATATCATGTGATGGTATAGGGATATCATGTGATGTTATAGGGATATCATGTGATGGTTTAGGGATATCATGTGATGGTATAGGGATATCATGTGATGGTATAGGGATATCATGTAATGGTATAGGGATATCATGTGATGGTATAGTGATATCCTGTGATGGTATAGGGGTATGATGTGATGGTATAGGGATATCTTGTGATGGTATAGTGGTATCATGTGATGGTATAGGGGTATCTTGTGACGGTATGGGGATATCATCTGATGGTATAGAGATATCATGTGATGGTATAGGGATATCCTGTGATGGTATAGGGATATCATGTAATGGTATAGAGATATCATGTGATGGTATAGGGATATCCTGTGATGGTATAGGGGTATCATGTGATGGTACTGGGATATCTTGTGATGGTATAGTGATATCATGTGATGGTATAGGGGTATCTTGTGATGGTATGGGGATATCATGTGATGGTATAGAGATATCATGTGATGGTATAGGGATATCATGTGATGGTATATCTTGATCTCTAACGGAACTGCTTTAGTCTTGTGTAGGAATTTGACCGCATTCGCTGATTTTAATCATGTACACCACGAAAGGTTGCGGTTGACTTTAGTGATTATTCTTCCATAGTTATTTTCAAAATGGACTTTGGGAATTATTTTGGCACATGTCATGAAAACGTCAAAGGTCAATGGTCAAGGTCGTCTTTGACAGTTACTGTTGCTCGTTTTCAGAAACTTGGTAAAGGTTAGATTTTTAAGTCCAAAGTCTGGAAGTAATGTTTTGGACTGGGAGTACCTTGAGGTATTTTAAGACTTAATGAAGTGGTGAAGGGACCACTTTTGTTTTTAACAGGTACTTACAAACAACTATAGTTATTTACTATATCACAGTAAATGGTATTGTAATATCATGGGTGTCTTAATCCTACTCGTTATGTCGGAGTGAAGCATCCTTGGAAATAACGCCATGGAAATAGTCATTACAAGCTCTGTCAGAGTGATGGATTCTCGCATATCACGTGATTTGATATAAAGGTGTACTTTTAAGTGAATGAAGAATTGTTGGATATCATGTCCGACGTCTGTAACCTTCTCAGCTATGGCGATGAAAAGGTTTGTTTATTTGTTGTATATCGTCACAAACAATATTACAGCTATATGACGTCTGTAAATATTGGAGTCTGGACCAGACAATCCAAAGACTGACATCATGAGCATCGATCTACGCAACTGGGATACTATGACATGCATCAACCAAGTCAGCGAGGCTGGCCACCCTATCCCGTTAGTCATCTCTTAAGACAAAATTGGGTTGCTGAAGAGCAATTCTGACCCTGATCTTTGCGTGTCGCGACTAAACTGATTTTTGGATGTCATGAAGTGTGATATTTCCCTCCCAGATACGTAAGTGTGTAAGGGTCTGTCCCACGGGGCTCGTACATTCCGATTGGGATATTCCTTACAGGACTTAATGTCATTTTAAGAATGAGTGAGTTGGGTTTAATGCCGCTTTTAACAGTAGTCCAGTTATATCACGGCGTGTCAGCTTAATGTGGGAAGAAAGCCTAAAGTGATGCAGGTCTCAGACGTTTACCACTTAAAACGTGAAACCCACGAGCACGGGTATTGTGCTGACAAACCTAAAAATATAATCGGGGCGATCCGGGACTCGAACCCACAATCATAGGTTTCTGACGTGCCCAAGGGACGCAACTCTGCACAGCGAATCGCGGGGCCTTAGACAACTGGGCCACCCGTGCCCCTCATTTTAAGAAAATAACATAAAGAAAATGTAGAAAATTTTCGGAAAGAGCACTCTTTATTTATTGTTCTGATAACACAACATTATTTGTGGCGTAATGAGGTGGTTTGTGAAATGCATATTAACGTCTCATTCATTATTTCATGTATATAGCGACGTGCATGCCCGTATGTGGAGCTGCTTGTGCTTGTCCGGTTAATAGTGTTAGCCCACTGAGATACCGTGCCGCTGTTTAACATGGATACCCCACTCAGACACAGTATACTGACTCCGAGCCGACCAGTCGTTGTTTCATTCCCTTAATGCCTAGCGCCAGGCAGGGTAACAACAATTACCACCCTTTAACGTCATTTGGTATGACGCGACGGGGATCAAACCATCGACCTTCAGCTCCTCGGGCAGATTCTTGATCAACTAGACCACGGATCCGAGACATCATGAACAAAGGATGAACGTCGTAGGGTGACTACATATTTTGTTAAAAGACCAATTATCTTGAGAATCAAAAACAATCAATTGTTCATCTGAACAGTCACCAACAGCTGTACCAATAATCGACACGTCTTCTCTGTTTCAGGTATTTTAAGGACAGGGGTGTCTGGCTTCACCAACAACTTTGTGGAGATCGACCTGAGGTACGGCATCGTGAAAGGCTACAGCCCCTATATCACCTTTGTACAGACACCGACGCCGACCCGAGACCGCACATGCGCAGCGCAAGCCGTCATCCGGATGGACTTCTCCGGGCCCTACAAGGGGGCAAAGTTCTTGCTGGACTACGGCGAGTCCCCCCGCCTCTGGACACTGGACGTGTCGGACTCCCCCACCGGAGACGGGTTCGGGGGGGACAACGGTACCAGCAGTAACAACGCCGAGGCGCAGATACATAACCGTCAGCTGCGCGTGTACGGCAACAGCCTTCCTGGTTACATGGAGGCTTCCATAAATGGAGGAAACCTGTTAAAAGTTGTGGACAATTTTGTGAAAAAAGGTGCCAAAGTATCCGTGGATATTAGCGACGAGAGGATTGAGTGGGTTCAGGGCCGAAAACGGGATTATATGGAGTCCCGACACTTGTTTACCCTTAGCGGCCAGAAGACGGAGTTCGGACCCGTGGAGTCCAACGTTTACGTCGGCTTCAACAGAGTTGTGAGGGGCAAGTACCGCTCCGGAAGTGGATTGTGCCGGGTCACCATTTCGCTGTATCAGCCAGGTAGGTTCCGTGTCGTTGGTAGAGAATGGGTGATTGAATGTTGTAGAGTTCGGCGTCAGGAAATATTACAGACAGACGCAGCAATCCTTGATTGCGTCTCTCACACATGGGACGTACTGTTCCAGATTTGTCATAAGTTCCCAGTACAATGGGAGGTAAAGCCTGGCAGGTGGACGGTCAGTGTTTGCCAAGTGTTCTGACGACCAAAGTCTCCAGTATGTGTGGACATATTCCGACTTACACACTTATTCGGACAAACGAACACGTTCCCTGTTTTCCTGAATTCTACACACATTTTCTGACATTAGTGTGAGTGAGTGAGTGAGTATGGTTTTACGCCGCTTTTAGCAATACTCCAGCAATATCACGGCGGGGGACACAAGAAATGGGCTTCACACATTGTACCCATGTCGGGAATCGAACCCGGGTCTCCGGCGTGACGAGCGAACGCTTTAACCACTAGGCTACCCGACCGCTCCTGACATTAGTGTGAACATATCCCTGACTTGAAAACACATATTCTCTGACACCAGTGCGAATTGATTCCGCCGTTAGAACATACAATTTGTGACACGAACATGTACATATTCACTAACCCCCGTGAAGATCCGAGGTAGAATAGGTCTTCAGCAACCCATGCATGCCGTAAAAGGCGACTAAAGGGATCGGGTGGTCAGGCTTGCTGACTTGGTTGATGCATGTCATCGTATCCCAACTGTGGATCGCTGCTGATGATGTCAATCACTGGATTGTCTGGTCCAGACTCGATTATTTACAGACCGCAGTCATATAGCTGTAATATTGTTGAGTGAGGCTTGAAACAGCAAACAAACAAACTAACTAACATATTCACTGACATTTTTGTGTACATATTTTGTGACATTAGTGTGAAGATATGCCCTCATATCACATATTCCCTGACATTAATGTCAGCATGCTCTCTGACGGCAATGTGTTCATATGCTGACGTATGCGTTGCTAGGCTATGACGACGTTGCTTCGTTACAAATGTCGAAGCGAAGGGCTATTTTGTTCGAGGGCATTAATTCAACTTTCATATTGAATTCCTTTTCATGATCTGAACAGTTCATCTTATTCATACTGTTCAAATGAATTCATGATACAAGCTCGTGAGATGAGCTCGAAAGAAAAAGCTCCATCAATCTAACTTCGTTTTTAAGTTTCCGTGGTTTTACGTAGAATGCTGATTAACTTGTTCCCAGCCAACCCGAAATCTCGTGGAAGTGGCGTTAATTCTGCTAATACTCCTGTCTGCCAACAGGCCATGTTGGCAACAGATCTCACAGGAGTTTTTATGGATCTCAATTCGTTTTTCACCCGTGTTGAGTTCACAGTAACTGTATGGGGGAAACGGGAGCTGGGATCTTACGTCGTCTGCCCCCGTCGGCAGCAGTTGGCCCGACTGACAGAGGTGTGGGTTTAACATTCATTTCCCCGACTGCTAGGAGTAGATTCATTGTTGATGGCATCGAGTCAAGCAGGGGTCACCAGGTACTCCCGACCCGTCAGAAACAGCACTCACAGGCACACCCCCATGACGTGTTCGCGACGTAGAAGTTATAACCAAGCAGAACAGAACGCACATCCATAATATTTAATTTTCATTTGACATACAGATTTGTATAACAGACATATACATTTTTCGCTAAAATTTACGTCGGCCGTAGAGGCAGAATGAGGCTAAACCATTATTCTTGTATTCGTGTCGTAATTCAAGGGAGACAACTCGGTTGGTACTTGGTGGTTTTCCTCCAATCGACTCTTCCTTTACTGAATGGATGGTAATTGGTGTAGGTAGTGAGATTCAGAACTCCAATATATAAATAATAATGTTACAATTTTCGATATCATTTCACATATTCGTTTGTTTAATTAGCGTGGTATAATCCCTTGTCACAAAGGAAACGAATGCTTCACGCGTTATTCGGACCTAAAGTTTGAAGTGAATTAGTGTGAATGACTTGTACTAATATTGTGGCATATTCGTATAGAGTTATCAAAAATGAAATAAAAAATTGATATCATACGATGTATTAATTCCTGAATCAAGAACTATTATGTTGTAGCAGTATATATCTTATCGTACACTCGTCCTCGATTATGAATTGTATTAATTCTCCGTTTAGTTATGATGATTATTAGAGTAGTCATATAATACCCTGGATACAGGAGGATGGGTAAAGTCGGGATATTGAGAATATGCATAGTACCCTTTTTGTGGTACAAAGCGATTCTTTGTTAATTGACGCCGTGGGCTGGGATTTTATCGAAAACAATAAGTTGTCCTCGAAAATTCGTGAAAAAAATAGAGGTATTCACAGCCTTCTTTTTTTTCTATTCTAAGAAAATATGACTTTCAAAGAATAGATTTAGAGCCTCAATTTTTGGGAGAGTTAAAACAAACAAATTTTGAAATTAAGTTTCCAGAGACGACGATGTTGTCCAGTGTTCCAGCACGCAGCTGCCCTCATATAGGAATACGGAACTTTCCCCACCGCACCCCCTTTCATTTTAGATAAAACCACAAATACCTGAATCGACACATTCGTACAGGGTTTTTTCTAACATGTACACAAATTTGGTAGAGCTGTACTCGAGTCGGCCACCCGGCTTGCCTCATTTACACCTAATGACGTGACGTGTTAATATTTACGACCTATCGCCGTGGACAAATACGCAATATTCGGCTGTGTTTGAATGATTATAAATAATAAAATGTCTTTCTTTCACATTACATCTGAAACGACTCTGTTTTACCAATTAGCGAAAGCTGGTAAACGTCCCTTCTCCTCTAACAGACTAGCAGTTGGCCGCACACCGTGTCAGGAACACACGTGCTGCGAGGGGAGATTTGAACTCACATAAACAGGTTTTTGAAGCCAGTGCCAGAGTCGATTTTCTAGACTAAACTCAGCATCAAGCGACATGTTTGATAAAAGAGCGATCGGATGTGAATTGCACGGATGATATGCATCTTCCAACACATGGGGTCTCATCTCCGCTTAAACAGATAACGATAAAGTCTATTTGTGCTTGTAATTTCAACAAACTTAACTCCAAAATTCAAAATTTGTTTGTTTTAATTTTGCATATATCAGCATGTGACTAAGATCTTATGTCAATAATACACGTGCACGCGTTGACACAAAAGTGCAATATTCTCGTGAGATATAAACGTTTAGCTAATCGGCCCAAATAGATTCACTGAGCATTTTCTTCACACCTGGGGTATCACATAAATTTGTTTAAAATATTTCAAAATAATTAGTTTTACAATAAATGATGCATTATACACATATCATCGTTAATATACCCGTGACGATCCGGGTTAGAATAGGTCTTCAGCAACCCATACTTGCCGTAAAATGGTTTTAAATCTAAATATCTGATCATTAAGGTCCCTACGAAAATACAAAAGAAATAGAAATATATTTCCACTCCGTTCATAACAATATGAGAGAGTGAGTTGTGTTTTACGCAGCTATTAGCAATAGTCCAGCAATATCACGGCGGACACCAGAAATGGGCTTCACATATTGTACCCATGTGGGGAATCGAACCCTGGTCTTCGGCGTGACGAGCGAACGCTTTTACCATTAGGCTACCATACTGCCCCCATAACACTGAACATATTACCAGGTGATTCGAGGAGATAAATATGTTATTAAAAATATTTTGTATCAATACCTCACACCGAAGGTCCGGGTTCGATTCCCACATGGATACATTGTGTGAAGCTCATCTGTGATGTCCCCCTTTGTGATATTGGTGGAATATTGCTTTGAGCGACGTAAAACAACGATGTATTATGATTGTCTATATCCCCCCCTCGAGGTATTATGATGGTTTATATCCCCCCCCCCCCCCCTCGAGGTATTATGATGGTTTATATCTCCCTTCGAGGTATTATGATGGTTTATATCTCCCCTCGAGGTATTATGATGGTTTATAACTCCCCCTCGAGGTATTATGATGCTTTATATCTCCTGTCGATGTATTATGTTGGTTTTTATCTCTCCTCGACGTATTATGATGGTTTATATCTCCCCTCGATCTATTATGTTGGTTTATATCTCCCCTCGATGTATTATGATGGTGCATATCTCCCCCGAGGTATTATGATGGTGCATATCTCCCCTCGATGTATTATGATGGTTTGTATCTTCCCTCGAGGTATTATGATGGTTTATATCTCCCCTCGAGGTATTATGATGGTACATATGTCCCCCGAGGTATTATGATGGTGCATATCTCCCCTCGATGTATTATGATGCATTATATCTCCCCTCGAGGTATTATGATGGTTTTTATCTCTCCTCGATGTATTATGATGGTTTACATCTCCCCTGGGGTTATTATGATGGTTTATATCCCCCCCTCGAGGTATAATGATGGTTTATATCTCCCTTCGAGGTATTATGATGTTTTGTAACTCCCCCTCAAGGTATTATGATGCTTTTTATCTCCTGTCGATGTATTATGTTTCCTTTTATCTCCCCTCGACGTAATATGATGGTTTATATCTTCCCTCGATCTATTATGTTGGTTTATATCTCCCCTCGATGTATTATGATGCTTTATATCCCCCCTCGAGGTATAATGATGGTTTATATCTCCCTTCGAGGTAGTATGATGGTTTGTAACTCCCCCTCGAGGTATTATGATGCTTTATATCTCCTGTCGATTTATTATGTTTCCTTTTATCTCCCCTCGACGTAATATGATGGTTTATATCTTCCCTCGATCTATTATGTTTGTTAATATCTCCCCTCGATGTATTATGATGCTTTATATCTCCCCTCGAGATATGATGATGGTGCATATCTCCCCTCGATGTATTATGATGGTTTGTATCTTCCCTCGATGTATTATGATGGTTTACATCTCCCCTTGGGGTATTATGATGCATTATATCTCCCCTCGAGGTATTATGATGGTTTTTATCTCTCCCCGATGTATTATGATGGTTTACATCTCCC